GTAGCCCCCCATAAGGGGTCGTGCCCTTAAAAAAGACACGGATACCACACCGCCAAATTCCTCATCTTTTTCCTTTCGGTACGAGTTGCCGTCCACTATTAGTCGACTCCCTAAGTCTTCCACCTCCACGATCCGACCTTCTTCCTCTGTGAGCAGTGGTCCATACTCCTTCTCGCGAAATCGCACCGCGCGGCCGGAGATAGGTAACGACTTAATTTGATCACTGGGTCTTGCACCCACAGCGAGAGCGGCTCTGTTCCTCGAATCCCGAGGCTCCACTGTCTCAATCATCACCCGCGTCCCGTTTGGCTTCCTAATGGACAATGTTTGGCTCCCATCAGGTCGCTCTATCGTCACCGCATGCACGTGGCTTAGCCACGTCCGTCCCAAGAGCAGGTCAGAGCTGCAGTTCTTGACTGCAAAGACAGGCAGGGTCACTCTTACCCCTTGGACCTCTATGACTGCCTTGTGACAAACCCCAGTGATCTGTTGCTTTTTCCCATCAGCCGTCTCTATCTCGAATAGGTATGACCTATCGAGGCCCAGTCCAACTTGTACTGTCAGGTCCTCGTCTATGATGACAGCCTCACTGCCGTTATCAATCACAGCATCGAGTATCGCTCCATCATTTATAATCGTCTCTACGGCCCCGCTACCAAGTATATAAAACTTGTCTGGAGGTACACCTTCCATCCCATCGAGAAGGACTGTCGCCATGCAATCCGCTCTGGCAGTCACCCCCGTTACCGCTACTGTAGAAGCTTCCGCTTTAGGGGCCCCCTGACCCTCCGCTGATAGAGGTATGCGAGTCTTCCGTGTGATCATCTGTAATTCATCACGAGCCGGCTTCGATGCCGCCAGGTACTCCAAAATAGAACACTGCATTGGTTGCCGAGAGGCCCGCCTCAGTGGCTCGACCGTGTTTATCTCGTCCAGCGAACTCTTCATTAAGAACTTCTTCACTCCCCTCTTTCGCGGCGAAAGGATAACCTCCTCTCCATCGACCCGCTGCCCGTCCTTCTCCATCATCACGTAATCCGTGTCAGTCTTCTTCGATGTAGACCCTCTTGCCGACTTGGTGGCTGCCACCCTTATGGGTGTTGTCGCGATATCCCCCTCAAAGATTATCTTAATGCTCTGGCTCCTGACCGGCTCCATTCCCTTACTCGTCTTTATTCTCCTTGCTTCGACATTCTCCTTCATCGAAGGAAACATCGATACATCTCC